ATACTTAGATATCTATATTTTTGGATGATTTAATTCTGATTTGGTTGGCGCTTGAAACGAATCAGAACGAGGCTTTGATGTGAACACTTTTAGCTCCGTGGCTGCTTTGAAATCGAGCAGTTGTTGAAATGCAGACATATTTACTTACCCGCTGCAGCGAGCTTCATCAGGATCACCAGTTAAAACTTTGTGGTTACAGTCGATCGACATTCATGATTTTTACGCATGATTATCAGGTGTGTTCGGAGGATGAAGCAAGCTCATGTACATGTGTTAATATTTACAGAGCTGAGTCTATATGTTAAATGCAGTCCTGGCTGCTTTGCATTTTATTAAATATTAGTTGTTAGTTGTTTGTTTGTTTGTTTTCTTGTTTTGTCTTTTGGAAGACAGTTTTTGTTTGTTTTTGATTTTTTTTTTTTTGTTTGTTTGTTGTTTTTGTGAGTAGAGGCAGTGTTAAAAAGTTGCACCACAAAAGATACACTCGATGCTGCTGCAGAGATCTGGCACAGATTGGACACTGATGCTGTAACAAAGTGATCCATCTTACCACTCGGTCTTACTGCGCCAGATCTCAGTGGCTGCTGAAGGTTTTTTGGGGGTGGGGGGTGGTTATGTGCTTACAGCCAGGAAAGAGGAAAAAAAAGAAGAAGAAAAGAAAATTAAACCTGACGCTGAGGAAGGTACATGACTCAATGGTTCACGATTGCTCCTCTACTTGGAACAATGATGGCATTAAAGTGATCTTTTATGGTGCCTGAATATAATTCTTTCTATTTTGGCTTTTTAAAAAAGCTGATAGATTTGTCTGTCCAAGTGTTCTTTGTTTTGTTTGTTTATATCTTTAATGATAACCTTACAGAGCCTATAAAGAAAAAATAAGCTAGCTTGAATTTTTTTCTCTATACAGAAAACACAAATACAAATGTTTACAATATGTAATTAACCAAATAGTAAATATGCGTTTGAGAATCAGTCTGTCCCTCAAAGCGGCTGTGATAGATTGATTTGTATTTCTTTATTTCTTCTGTCATTTTAAACTTGAAAATGTTATGACTGCTTGTTCTCTTCCCCCCACATTTCACTTTGTTTCTTTTTCTTTTTGTTTTTTTTTAAATTTCCTGTGAACAGTGCTCCCTCTATTGCAAAATAATTACTCAGCAATGTAGTTGAACTATTTGTGTGTCAGTCTTTCTTTACCTGCTGATTTCTTCACCTTACACTGAGCCTTGTATGTGCTGAATCCTAACTTGAGACCCTGTTGCATCTTTTGCTCTTTTTGTCGTGCACAGTTTGGTGAATTCGAATATGAATCTGACTGATGTATCTGCGGTAAAGGATTCAAAGAATTTCATATTGTGTATTAGTAAGAAAAACAAAAAAAGAGGAAAAACAAAAGCGCCACTTGGTAAAAATACTTGAGTACAGATTAGTACATAAGCGAAGATTAGAATTCAGGAATGACTATCTAAAGGCATCCTATTGTTGTTTTTTTGCACTACGCAGCAAATGATAGTCGAATAAAAAGCTGAAACGATTGCTCTTTTGGTTAGTTAAGTAGTTTTTAAGACCAAAATTCAGCCAATATAGTCGCAGCTTGTTCCGCCTGTGTGTTATTTCACTTAAAAAAAATCTTATCATTCTCTTTTTATCTATATATGCTAAGAGCAGCACTTTCATTTCCCTTTATGTTTTTTAAATCTTCTCACATTGTCACTCCTCCGTATGGAAAGTTGGCATTTGTTTGATTAACCTGATGTGAATGTTGTAGTATCGTTCACTGGTGTACAGTAGTTTATATTGCCTCACACTCTTCATGTTGGAGGCAACATTGACGGTGGTCCATGTTGCAACAGGCTGGGCAGTGTTACACAGCAGCAACAATTTAAGAGGCATCAACACATCTTTACCCTAATCAGAGCACACATTGCATTGCAGCGTTGCCCACCGAGTTGCCTCTTGAATCACCGGCTTCAGCAGACATACAGCTAAAAATTATAGTTAGTAAAGATGTTCTGTCTCTCTCACTCAAAAACAGTGAAGAGATGGACCGTCAGATAAAGCTACTCTACACCAAAGTGCAATTGAAGGCAGAGGGAGCACTGTTGTTTCAGCCAGTAGGGGCCTACTGGTTGCAATGTGCCCGACCCAGATGCATGAAAAGATGGTTATTTTTCTTCTCTTGTGTTATCCTCCCTCCGTTTATCTGTCTTAACTCAGATGCGGCATTTCTTTCTTTCTCTCTCATGTACGGCTTGCTTCAGAGTGGTATGTCCTCAGACAGGTACTCTTTGATCTGTACGGTTATTTCTTTAGGTTAATGCAATGATTTTAAAAAGACAATAAAAGATATCTAAAATGCCATGTGTTGTCCTCTTCTTTTTTTCCCCTGCCTGTGTTATCCTGGTACATTTTTACATGTCTGTCCTGATTCAGCTTGGCATAAAACGTGATGGCACTGCATATTTGTAGAAATACAGAATATGCTGTTCATGACATCTAAACAAATGTCATGAACTGGCACATAGGTGATGAGGCAGGAAGCAACATGAGAGGTTTGCTCAATCATCCAGGTAAGGAAATGCCAAAAAAAGTTAATTATCAACTATTATTAAAACACAAGTGTTTATCATTTTTTGGAGGATGCAGAGTTCCAATTGGTGAAAATCGATGTGTGTCACAATGCTGTGTTTGATCTGTGTTTGATCAAATATGGTGGGCCTGATTTTTAGAATGAGTTTTGTTGTTATAAGTAAGTTATTTAGTCTGTCAATAGCTGTAATTCAGTGACGGCAACAAAGTGAAGTTTCACATTTTCCTCTGGCTAATTGTTCATGTGATGATGGATGTGCTAATGGATTTTCTGGGCTTGCAGGTTCTTGGCAGGATCCTCCATGTTTGTTTGCATGGTTTGACTAACAGAGCTGTCTGACAGTAGTAGCTTTGAAAAAACTTTAAACCTATAGTTAAATTGATAGTAATCTTTTCTAGCCCAAATATGTTTTGCTCATCCAAAGCAGTACATTTAGCTCCCATATTAGCTGCATGTTATGACACTCCACTTAGCATTACCTAGAAAAAAGTAGGTAGGTACCAATAGGCACTGAACCAGTAGTTCAGTGCCTATTGGTACCTACTTCCTACATAGAAAGAGAACAGAATCTTTGCTGGTTATTAAAAGTGGTAGGTTGTCTTAATTTAAGAGTCAAATCCAAAAAACTTAGCAAAGAACAAATTTTAAATTGTATCTTAGTGTTATTTGACATTACTAGCTTGTCACAAACTGTTCACATCAGCCTCGTCATCCCATTCTTATGGAAAGGAAATGGAGAGAAAAGACTGAGGCATGCCAAATACATAAGAACTGGACTGAGAATCAGTGGAAACAGGTCTGATAGAGGCATCCAAATGTTGAATTTCAACCATAAGGAAGCAGTGTGGGATCATGTTGATGGAGAACGGAACAAAAGGCAGAAACAAAAGAGCTCTAAATGTCCTTCAAGAGACCTGGACAACTATTCCTGAAGACTACTTAAAGAAATAAACGGAAAGCTGCCTAAGAGATTTCAGACCATGTTGAAGGATAAAGTGGTCGTACCAAAAGTGGACTTTCAAGCTGTATTTCCATGGATGTTTGCACTTTTTTTTTTTTTTTTAAATAATTTGCTGCTCTTAACTTCCATTTACCTGGCAAAATATTGATGACCTTTGTACTCTACTGTAGAAATGTGGTCATTTAAATTTGGGCAATTTGAAAGATGACACCATATAGAAGCAAGAAACTATGAGTTCTGTAATTTTGGCACAACCTGCAGGGATTCTGCTACTTCCTTTTTCATATGTTTGTATTTTATTTATGTTAATTCATCAGTTTTACATCCACTGTTCTATTTCCTGCCAGCTTTTAATGCCAGCTACTCACTGTCTATTGAGGAACTCTGACCTCCATATGCTTTCCCCTTAATTTTGGTGTAAGACCGCAGCCTTAAATAGACTTCTGTTTTGCCTCAGTTTCTGTATGCCTTGTGTGTGTGTGTGTGGGGGGGGGGACTTTTGATTCACACACAGAATATTTAATTTTTTGTTACTCTAATGTGTGCTCTGCATCCCCTGCCTGGGTATTTGGCCCTGGGCCTTCAGGCTGAGCCTCGTACCACAAACCATATTTCACAGTAAATATGGGAAAGGAAAGAAAATTTGGAATTCCCCTCCACAAAAAAAGGTTTGATTTTCAATGAAGTGAGGGGCTTCGGTTTTGCCAGCTACACCCAATACAAAATAAAGGGCCGCAAGTCAGGAAGTTGAGTGAATCACACAGTCATGGCTCACTTCCCTGTTTTCAAAAACAGACAAAAGCTGTCATGTGAGAATCACCAGGTAATCCTTATATAGTGCCCAAGGTTTGTGATGATTTTCTGCATGTCAACTCTTCTTGAGCAAGACCTTTGGACCGCCTCTGTTTTATAATGAGGCAAAACAAGAATGACAACAATAGACAGAAAACTTTCCCATTCATCTGTTGGGGAAAAAACCCCCCTAACATATCTTAAGAGGGAACTTCTTAACCTTTACAGAACATGATAAGGTTTAAAATTGAGATGTTACATCGTCTTAAAATGCCCTTTTGAATCCTTATTGAAAAATAAACGTTTTCCAGTATTAGGTTTTAATTGTAGAGATACAATTTATGTCACACAAGTTACGGGATGTTCTTAAATTATACCTTGAAACCCTTTGTGAATAAAATAAATAACTCCGATATATATGTATTTCCTTTTAAAAACTTGTGAGCTATTGGGCCTGTACACCACGTTATTTTTTTATTGATAGACTTGAAATGTCCACGTAATTAAATCATTGCGAACTTCACGAACTTCAGGATGTGTAAACTTACTACATACTAACATGCCAATCATATGACAGTTCTATTTCCTCAGAACAGCAGCAGAGACTTCGCTCTCTTTGGATAGATGTCTCCTAGTTACAAGTGACGCTTAAGACCACAGCCAATCAAAAAACAGCTAACCTGCACGAGGAAGCGCGGTCGAGTATTAAAGAGTGGACCCGCACAGTTGTTTGTGGGTCAGTGTTGTGGTGCTAGTGACAGTTATAAACAGTGACTTGGTTGTAGGTAAGGATGAAGGCACTACTGCTGCTGTTTTTGGCTTTTGGGTACGTCGGCTCCTCCGTGTACTCCTCATGCTCCCAGTCGCCATTAAACTGGTGTTCATCTGTTGACTCGGCTGTTGAGTGCGGGGTAAGAACTTTATACATAACTTTTTTTATCAAGAGCTAATTTTGAATGGCTAGTTAGTGTCGACGACGTTAGCCACTTTCATAGGTAAGGCAATAGCTAAATAAAAGTTTCTATATTTATGAGAGAAAAAAACTCACTGAGAGAAACCGTAGCAGCACCAATGAGTGCGTCGCTGTAATGTGATATGCGGTCAGTTTTCAGGTGAGTAAACTGACCTGACCGCAAATAATGGTTTCCTCTGATAAAGACTTCAAAATTATAGTATGAATGTGGAGAGGTGAAAAATTATCATGCACATGAAGTTAGCGGAGCCAGTCTCTTACAAAAATCAGAGTCATCCTTAAGCGTTGCCCTTGTCTTCATCTTTTAATGACGTCACGTGTGTTATTACGGTAAGTAATTATTTATAGCTAATGTTCGGTGTTAGCTAACAAGTACTCACTAAAACTCTGTAACCTTTTTTGTCTGTTAACTGGACTTCGAAAGAAACGGTTATTTTTAGGTTTTAAGGAACTAGGAAGTAAAACTTTCAAATACCAGTTCTTTGCCAGCTGTGCGGTCTTTACATGCACCACAGAGCAGCCAGTTTAGTTGGTCTTACCATAGTTGGCATACAGTGAATAAAAGATATAGTCATGTAAATGGTGATAGATTTATTAACAATATTACAATCACAATTATAATGCAATAAACAATAAAAATATAATTCAAACTTTTAAAAACGATCGCTGCAACAACTTGATAGGTAATCTGTGTATGCTGCTTTTAAGTCATAAAAAAGGACCAGCTAATGCACATTTTCAACCTTTCTGTAGCATTTTCAGCTGAAATTGGCTTGATCACAAGTAATTACAACCACATGCTATTGATGAAAAGTCATAGTATAACTCTCACTGATGCTGAGCTTCCTCTGGAGTCTTGAAAGTGGTGGCGTTTTGAAGAAGCTGACCTCCCTGTTTTGCTCTTTGCTGTAGGTTTTGAAGTCGTGCCTTCATTCCAACTACACAAAGTCCCAACAGACAGACGATCCCGTTGAGGTGGGGCTTTACTACGAGAGTCTGTGTCCTGGGTGCAGACAGTTTCTCGTTATGATGCTCTTCCCCACAGCGGTCCTCCTGAATGACATCATGGTTGTTAACCTGGTGCCTTTCGGCAATGCCCAGGTAAGCAGTCGGCCGAGCAGCTTGGTTGCAGACTGCGATTGTAAATCTACCTGTGCAAAGACATTTACGGTTAAAGGCAACCCAAGAGTTCTCATCACTATATCTGTCAAAAATTTAAAAAAATTTACCCAACTACATCATTGGTAACTGTATTCCATTCCAGGAGGTCAAACAGGATGAAAAGTACGTCTTTACTTGCCAGCATGGAGAACAGGAGTGTCTGGGCAACATGATTGAGGTGACGTTGCACCCCAGACACACACCAACAACTCAAACTGCTGAATAATGTGTCATGTCTGGTGTCAAAAGCATCTTGCTGTGTTGCTTCAAAATGCTTAATTTTTTTAAAAGAATGAAATATTTGTTTTTTGTTTTTTCTCTAGACTTGTTTGATGAACATGTCCAAGATGGCTTTTCCAATCATTTTCTGTATGGAGTCCTCCTCTGATGTCATCAATTCAGCCAAAGCTGTAAGTGTGTGTGCGTGTTTGTTTGATTTATGCAGGCAATTGACTGGTCTAGACCACTTCAGTCCATGACTTTTTTTTTTTTTTCGGTCACTAATAAATTTCCGTTTACAACCATGTTTGGTTGTAGTGTACTGGAGTCTATGACCCCACTTTGAGCTGGGACAAAGTCATGAGCTGCGTCAATGGTCCTCAAGGAAACCAGCTGATGCACCAAAATGCCTTGGAGACGGCTGCCCTGAAACCTCCGCACCAGTACGTGCCCTGGATCACCATTAATGGGGTAAGACTTTACTGCAGTAACAGCCTATCCAGCAAATACCATGGTGTTCAGTTTTACTTATATAGTGCCAAATCGCAACAACAGTCACGTAAAGGCACTTTATCTCATAGGGTAAAGACCCTACGACGTAAGAGAACCCCAACAATCAGACAGCCTACAATGAGCAGCACTTGGTGACAGTGTAAAGGAAAAACTACCTTTTAACAGGGAAAAAAAAAACAAAACCCCTCCTCCTCTCTGTTAGCTATCTGCCGCAACCAACTGGGGCGTGAGCAGAAAGGAAAAGGGAGACAGGACACAATACAAACTATAGGAGAGAGAAGACAGAATTGAATGACATACAGCATGGAAGTGGACGTTTTTCCTTTACTCTATAAAAACATAATGAAGAGGTGAGAAACTGTAAGACATCAGACTGGAATGGAGAAAGTGATTTGAAATGATCCAGATCTGATGTTGACTCTGTCCTTCAAAAGAAGCGCTGTTACTTTTTCAGTGATGAGTTTGACACTTGATCTGCCTCAAAGCCCAAATCTGTTAGTGAAAGAAAGCTGGGACTGATACATGTAAAGCTGCCTCTTTTTCACGTGACATCATGCAGTACCCTAACATAAAAATGGAAGTTTTGTCTAAAGCAAGTCACATGTGGATTGCAGGCACGTCCACGTAAGCCCCTCTTCTTAGAGGCGTTAGTATTGGAATGTTAAACACTCTTTTTGCTGTTAGGAGTTTTACTATGTACTGTACTTCCTGGACCAACTTAAGGTCTTCTTTTCGTATTTAGATTTCCAAAATCTATATGACAATAGGTGCATAGTAAGTGTGGCTCACCTGATTACAATTTTGCTAAATGACCCAAGATTGACTGCAATCACATTTTTGGGGGATTCCTATGAAAAGCAAGTCAAATGCTAAATTCAGATCATCCACAATATAAGGTTATCAGGCTGCTCAGCTCTATCTGTTGCATTTGCCTGTCCCTTTTTGGAAATGGTCTCTCTCAGCCTTTGCACTTACCACCTTAGTCATTCACACTGGTCTTCCTTACAGTTATATGACATTGCTGTGACCTGCAATCACCTGCAAGTCATGCACCTAGCAATCTAATGAGGTCCATCAGATGATCTGTCTCTGACAGCCTCTTATTGCTGTTTTACATTCCAGTATCACCAGGTTTAAGACCTAAAGTGTACTGCTAAGTGTCTGTTGCCTTAATAAACCATTCAAACTGTGTAACTGAGGTATGAGAAGTTACTTATTTTTAAATGTTGGGAATATTAATTTTCATTGATTTGTAGGAGCATACAGACGACCTGCAGGACAAAGCCATGAATTCTCTCCTCTCTCTCGTCTGCAGCATGTACAAGGTACAGTCATCAATGTCTACTAGATATCTGCCTTGTAATTTACTTGAACTTAAGTTTTTGTTTTGTTTTTTCAGGGCACTAAGCCTGCGGCCTGCGGGGGGAGCCAGATGCACTACAAAACTTACTGCCAGAAAGTGTGAATGAGCAATTCTGCACATGCCTGTTTACTAGCCAGGTGTGGCCTCTAAACAAGAAACACTGAAAAATGTCATCAAAGATTTTATTTTTCTTTTTGTGTATTTGAACTTTGTTTCTAAGAATTTGATCACTTCACTTTTGTAATTCCAAAATATAAAAACACACCTTACCTTCTTAAGAGACTGTGTTGTCATTGAATTAATATCTATGGAAACCAAAAAATCATGAATGGTTTTTGTGGTACTTTGGTATTTGCCTTATTTAAAGTGTTTTTTGCTTAACTTTTTAAAAACCAGTTTAGATGGAGGTACACAAATTCACAAATCATCCAAAAAACACAAATCGTCATTTGTTAGAGGTAATAAACACACACAGTAGGGTATTCATATCTTGTGGGGACAATGCTTTACCTAACCCCTAACCCTAACCATCGAAAATGAATGCCTAACCCTTGCCCTAAACCTAACCATAACCAATTGTTACACTGTGACTAAAACCACAGTCTCAGTCTCCAAATTCCCTTCAAACTTGTGAGAACCAGGATTTTGGTCCCCAAAAGGGCCGTTGGTCCCCACAAATATAGTAAGCTTACACAGACACACAGTGTTGTCACAGTGCTGTATTAAAACTGATATTTTGAGTTTATTTACTAGATTCTTTGTCTTTGTAGTCTCCCACAGCGTCAGAGTAAGTGTTTAATGTAAATGGTAGGATAATAGGTAATCTAAAGCTCATGCCTAATGGCCTTGAAAACATGTGTCACAGTTGACATTATACTTCACGTTCTGTTTGTTTTTTTAAACCTGAGTTAATGTGGGCTTAGCATCAGGAGGCACAGGTTCATTAAAGTTCACAAAATCTCCTGAATCTTTAACACAGACTCACCTACAGCTACAAATTTAAACCGTGTTCATGGAGTAAGAAAAAAAAGCTTAAATGAGAAGATTTTAGGCAACAGCTTGATCAAACCCAGAGTTTTGCTGCACTGACCGGCAGGTCTGGATCTGCAAGGTCCACAGATTCTGCAGACAGACTCGCATGACTAATGGCATGCCACGCAGGCTGTTCCACCACCTCAATCTCTGTACCAGCATCTGCAGCCTCCACATACTTTCTGTTTTGGCGACTAATTGTCGTCATTTTCCAAAACATCGCTTTTGGGTCAAATCGGTTTACTACTACTACTACTAAGAAAGTTTGCTGTTTATCACCGATGTGATGACAGCTGAAAGTTTTGAAGAGGCGGGGAGACAGTTTGGTCTGTACTGAGTGACATCCCAGCTAAATGCTGGTGCCACAGACAGCTTCATATCTCATCTTAACTGTAGTTCCTGTATCCTCCTCGTTGGCATTTCCTTCTCATTTGTCTGGTTCCCAGTAGCTGAAAGTATGAGGAGAAATAACTCAAAAATTTTCAACTTCACAGAGGTAAGAGTAATAATTTCACGTTTAAGAAATTCGGCAACCTTTATTACGCTTGGCTTGGTTATTTCTTTCTTTATTTCATTTGCTTTCTTTTATGAACTCAAAAGAAAGTGAACTGGTTACACATTCGCAAAAACTAAATGGAAAGCTATGATGTGTGATTGATGTGGATTGTGTAATTGCACTGCTACGTGTTTTGTTTTCCTTTCTTGTTCCTGTTGCCAAATAGTTGTGGGAACTTTAATGGGAGCTTGTGTGTGAAAATAAGCAACAGCATTAAAGTGTAAAATTGTGTCATTAAGGAAGGAAATCATTTGGTGGCAAAGACAAAGTTAATGTGTTGCAGCATAGCTTTCTCTTGATCGATCCAACTCATAATCCATGAAGTTGACACATCGGCCCCTCTCGTGGTGATCTTGGATAGAAACGGTCAGCAATAAAACTCCAGAGTCTGTTGACGTTTGTTTATGGAAAGGTGAAACTTCCAAGCAGAAGGAGAGATAGGGTCACGGGATACAGCGGCAAACAAGGACTCTTATCTGTTTCCCCTCAACGCTGACGCTGAAACAGAGAAGCCCTGAGAGCGAAATCCCAAACACTGTCTCCCTGTAAGAACCGTCTATTGTGTCCAAGGTGATAGTGTGTTTGGTCTCAGGACCTGAAATCAGATAAACCTTCCAAAAATAATGCCCGAGTTGGCTTTTGTGAGGCTTGTCACATTTTTAGTAGCGTCATAAAAACAGCCCTGTGCATGGCTCACCTTTAGATCTCAACAGATGGTATTTTTTATTTTTTTTTTTTACTTCACAGAGACTTTTCAAGAAGCTCGGGAAATATAAAAACTTCTCCCTGCTGGCAAACATGCAGCTTCCCTTTATGTATGGTTTCTGTGATATCCCTGCTAAAATGCTGCTTCTGTATTGTTGCTCTGTCACCAGTTTGTGTAGTTCTTGTAATTATTGCAGGCCATAAACTATTAACAACAAAAAGGCAAATTTTCTCTGAACATCATTTTCATTTTTCAAAGTAATAGCCCAGAAAGCTGCACGTAAGCTAAATTATAGGATGAATGAGTGCCAAGTAGCTTTGAGCCAGGGTTTGCTGTTGAAAAGCACAGAGCTGCTGATTGTTGTGATGCATAGCAATCAATCTTGTTAGCGCCACAGCACATGCACATGCACATCCCTTTCATTTCAGTAAGAAAGCTGACATGCAAAGCATATGAAAGAAAATCGAGTTAACCAAGCAGTTTCCATTTCATAAAAATCTCCTTTCTTGTCTGCAGTTCACTCCAAACCTTTGAGTTCAGTGCAAAAAAAGTGAACAAGTTAAAAAGCTGGCCCCCCTTTTTGTCTCCAATCTAGTCTTTATGAATGCAGATTTATCCCATCTTTATACCATCACACTCTTCTTTTTCTAGCTTACAGTTAGACATGTATGCATATATCATCTCAGTAAAAAAACAAATCGCCTGCCTTTTATCTGCCTTACAGAGACAGTGGGATTCCTTAGACCAAACCTCCTCTGTAGAGCCTCTCCAGGACTGTGATATCAGATGGGCTGTGAAGAGGCTCTTCTCGGGAAACCTGCAGCTGCCCAAGCTTTCCTGCAGATCTTCTGCTCAGGATGGCCCTCCGCCCGTCGCCCCATTGGGCCCTGCGACCTACAGGATCAAACACTCGAGAAGTTACGGGACTCTGACCAGCTGCATGTCCAGAGGCCTGTAAGTCACTGATGTTGAACATGTTTAGTGGCATTTTGCTAATGAATTTAAATGTGCATACCAAAACATCACACATCCTGCTTCAAAAGCATGTTTGGGAACACATGATACTTCAGGTATCTCACACATGTTAAATTCATTCTTTAAATACCCTCTGATTTCCTCTAGAAAGAACAGCTCTGGAGTTTAAGTGTTCCCAAAACCAGCGCTCTGTGTGGAAAGGAGTTAATTTTTTCCTAGTTTCCCAACAGCTGGGCCCCTTCTCAAGCTTAATGATTAAAATTATATGTGTTCAGTGTGAAACCAGCCCCTGTGAAGCAAGCTGTGGTCTTGTAAATCAACACAGATTAAGGACTACTCAATGATCATCTGTTTTTAGGCGGGGCGGGGGCTAATTGTTTATTTAGGTTGAAAAAAGCTGAGTTGCTTCTCGAGCATATGATTGAACAAAGTGTCCCGCTTAAGGCGTTGCGCTCGCCTCTGTCACACTGCTGAACAATTATCGCCATAAAAGATCAGACAAACAAGGCTCTTATTATTGTTTCCACAACAACATTCAAGCTGCTTCAGCAATACATCTGTAGCAATTTCGGCCTCTCTAAACTTCGTGTGTGGGTGTGTACGTGTCTGCGTGTGCTGGCGTCTGTGAACGTGTGTGTACGTGTACCATCATTACGTCTCTTTTTCCACCTGTTGATGGAATCCGGAGACATCTGTTTGATATTGTTATTAGTTACAGTGAACCTCACAGGTGAACCCCTGTTGGCTTCTTCTTTGTCATGTGATTCATTGTTGAGTAGCACCTCTGCAAACACTGGATAAACTGAGAGTGATGTGGTGTTTTGTTCTTTTGCATTGCTCTTTATACGCTCACTGGCCACTTTATTAAGTACACCTATACAACTTCATGAAATATCCAATCAACCAGTGACATGGCTGCAACTCTGTGCGTTTGGCCATTTAGAAATGATTGAGACGACCTGCTAAAATTCAAAATGAGCTTCAGAATGGGGAAGAAAGGTGATTTAACCAACTTTGAACGTCGCTTAGAGTTTGGTGCCAGACGGGCTAGTCTGAGGATTTCACAAACTGCTGATCTGCTGGGATTTTAGCCACACAGTCACCTCTAAGGTTTATAGAGAAGAGTCTGAAAATGAGAAACTACCTTGAAAGTTTATTATTTGGTTGGCTGTAGGTGGTGGTGGTTCAATGCCTGACTGCTCCAGTCTCCATGCCTAGGCATCCTTAGGCAAGATACTAACCCCAAGTTGCTCTACGATTCATCCATCAGAGAATGAATGTGTGTGAATGTTAGATAGAAAGCACTTGAGCAGAGAAAAAAGAGCTTGCGTGAATGGGTGTGAATGGGTATGAGGCATGTATAAAGTGCTTTGAGTGCTCGGGTAGATTAGAAAAGCACTATATAAGAACCAGTCCATTTACCGTTAATGAAGTAGATGTGCCACAGCAGCATAAAAGCACAGTGGTGTTCTTGTTATATAAGAACAAGATTTGCTTGGGCTTTCCAAAATTGGATAGCAGACGTGCCGAGACATTCTGAGGATATGGTCAGAATTTGATGTAAACAGCTTGAAGGCATGGATCCATCCAGCCTTGTATCAATGATTCAGGCTGGTTTTAGTGTATTTTAGAATTTTAGAAATTAATTTTGGAATCTGTTTAAAAACAGTGGGATACATGGAGGGTCTTTAAAGGAGATTGATGATACCAGCTGTTTAAAAGTAAGAGTGACTGACTGATAATTGAGAGAAACCCAGGGGAAATGACAGGTAGAGTCTCTTGAAGAAATTTGGGAGAAATAGTGTCAACTGGGCAGAAAGAAGTGCACATATTAGAAGCTATATCAAGGAGATCATTCCATCCATTCCTTTTTCTTTCAGGTTATTCATTTCAGGGTCGTGGGGGGCTGGAGCCTATCCCAGCTGCCATAGGCTTCAGTAGATAGGCATAAGTAGATGACTACACTTGGACAAGGTGATAGGATCCAATCGTGAACTGTGACCTGATAC